TCTGTACTAAGGAAACACATTCCTTGATCAAGCCCAATCCCCAGCTCCCTACAGTCTATAAGGAACATTTTTGTACCACTGTCATTGCAAACAGAGAAAAAAATAGGAGGGTCTTTTTTTTTAATCAGTCAGAAAAGTAAGTATATTCAAAAATCCACATTGGAACAGTTCTTAGATCTCATATGCTGCATTTAGGAATAGAAAAGTTTTACTATAGTACATAGTAAAGTTTACAATTAAATAAACCAGGTTTTAACTTCTTCTGAGGTACTGAATGCAGGTCTCTTCCCTTCAGAGCAATGTTAATAGTGCAGTATGAATTGCAGACCATTTGCCTACTTTTATACATTTTCAGGATGACTCTTCCAGTTCACAGAGACATCTCAGGGCCCCCTCCAAGCCTTTCCCAGTCTGCAGCAGTAAAGGTAAAACTATAACCTCCTCTTTTACCCTCTTTGTATTTAAGTCTTTTTCCAATCATTTTCCAGCAAGAGCTGGAAAACTGCAATGCCAAGGGAACATGGGTCTGAGAGAGAGAAAATAATTTATTTGTGATTATTACGAGAGCCCCAGTGATATCAGTGGGTGTAACATGGTTGAATCAGGAAGGAATCAGGAAGGAATATTTTCACCTCCACTTTAAACTCAAGAAATCTGAGTATGACAGTGCTTAGCAGAAGCAATAAAACCACAAAAAATTGTGGATAAGATTACGTCCTGGTTTAAGACTATGTCCTATCAGAGCCTATTAACCCTTTCCTATCTTCAAATATTGTTCCTATAAGCAAAATACTTTGCTTAGCTTTGGTAGTGAGTATTTTAAGACATTTGTATGGGACTTCAAGCCCTCCTTTGAAGCAAATGTGGATATCTCAAATATCTGAACTTATAAAGTGTAGTTGCCATTTGAAGGCACTCACGAATTCCAGGTTCTTTACATATTTTCCACTATCCATGAAAAGAGCTCCAGCATCTATATGAAATAAATAAATGTTGCTGTGGAGAAGTCTGCGGCAAGAGATATCAAGAAAATTTACATTGCATTTTTTCAGTTTTCTATGTGGTTTAGATTCCAAAAGCTTCAACCTTGTTTTTGGACTTCATAAGTTTTATTTATACAGTATATACTGCAGAAAATTATCACATACTGACTATTTTATCTCAATTTGCTCTCATTTCTTAAATATAAACCCAAGTAATTTATTTAGATATAATTCTAGTTTCTATTATAGTGTCTTTATTCTTCATGACTTAAATCCCACAACTTTCAGAGAAACTTAATATTCTTAGTCATTGCTATAAATCATGACTCTCTAAGCTGAGTACACTGAATATATTCTGTGTGATAACTGTTGCCTGCTTATTTATAATTTAACAATAAGTCTAATTTTATGAGAAGAAGGTTCAAGGAAACAGATAGAGTCTCTTTCTGAGGGTTAAATAATTTCAACTTTGTGTAATTTTCTACTCTTAGTCCTCATTTAGACACATAAACATTCTGATTGTGAACATGACTGTAGAATTTGCTGTAAAGCTATTTTTAATTTTCTTCCCTCTGAATTGTGTGACTATCATTTAGGTATCTTGGAAGGATATCATTTAAGTCTCTTGAAAAGAAGGACAAAAAGATGAGAAAAATAAGGAAACACCCAACATATTCTTTAAAATAGGGGGTAATAGTAAATGTAACATTAGATGTAAGGTAGAGGCAAACACTACAACTGTTTGCGTTTTCTTTGCTCTTTTTAGCCATTTCACAGAAGGGTGATTGACAGATAAGGAAACTCCAGAGCAAAAAGCATGTCCCATACACTTCATTATAAAATTCACATCTTTGTTCTTTAGACATGAGAGGCCTCTAATAGCTCTTCTACCAATGCCTATGAGACTGGTGCACTGCTGTTATTTACTTGGAATCTCATGCATTTGATTTGTGGTTTCCATCACTTCTCCAATCCCTCCATTTGACAGGGTAGAGAAATAAAGCAGAAAGGCTTGAAAGACCAAGTTAACTAAAAATTTACAGTTTAATGCTGGAGTTCAACAAATTGCTGGCCAAAGTTTCAGTTTCTTTAAATAAACAAGCAACCCAAAAATTTACAACATAAAAGAAACCTTAAGTACTAAAGTTAATATTGAAAAGGCTGGAATTGAACAGCTAGGTGATGCAGTTCACAATATAATACTTTATTGTGTTCATTAGTGGTAACAGTAGTACGAGCAGTGCTAATATTTTGATTATGAGACGTAAAAAAGAGCTAACCAAGATGGAAATGCCATTATGCAACATACTGTACAAACAGGGGAGGACACAATGACATATGGCCTCCAGCTACTTACACTACTTAACAAAAATTATTTTCATGCTCCGCTTCTTCTGAAAACATGCTTCTGAGTGCAAGTGGCTGATATTATGTGCTGCTCTTTAGATCGAGACATGGATTTCCAAAGCAGTTTAATTCTGAGCCCACCAAATTAGGAGTCCAGATTCTACACATTTTCTCAGTGTTATGTGTTGATAGAGTGTTAAAATAGATTTTAAGCATAGAAACAAAGTGATTGTCTTGCTAGGTTTTGCATGGTCATATTGTGTCGTAGGTGTGAGGATATGTCCTTACAGTTCACATTTTTTACTGGTGGCTGAAGGTGATGAACACACCATAGTGCCAGATTTTATGATGCACTTTAGGTCCTGCAGCCATGGGAGTTTTGGTTTTTTTTTTAATTATTGCATTCCTACTCCTGTTCCCCTCCTCTGTTGTTTGAAGGTATCAATACTTAAGGTCAAAGAGCTAAAAGGCAAGTAAAAGAATGATAATATATTTTTCCAGTCTCATGATTTATAAGTCTATCCTGTGATTCTGGGAGGATGGACTTCTGAACTTTCAGGCATTTAGTCAATTTGAAAACTAAGAAAGAATGTCTGTATGTAGCTATGAGAAACAACATGTTGGGATGGGACACTGCATCTTTCTGCAGGCTGGAGCTTATGCTGCTAAAATGCCAGATGACAGAAGGGAATCTTTACCCCTTGGCAAATGGGGTAGCTAGCTAATTATGGGAAAGCGAGCAAGCATGTATGTCTGTGTAATTATAATGGTGCATGCTGAAGCCTGTAGGTGCTTAGAGTAGGAAAGTCAAATTCATTGGGCACACAATTTGTCATAAAAATGTGCCTGGAGGAACAGTAGAGGCAACTGACTAAATAAATGTGAAAAGACCTTATAAACTGGAGATAGAGGAAGGGTTTCTCCCTGGTATCCAGTGGCTCGCAGCTGTAGAAGACTGGACCCTGTGTCCTCCTGGGTGGTTCCTCCAGGTGCTCTGTCCTATTCCATCTGACTGTGGAGTTTGGTGTTGTATCCCACTGAGATATAGAGGACAAAAGGCTGGTCAAAAACATCTGATGAGCAGCTTGAGTTCTGCTTCTTCCACCCATGGAGGTTTTTGTCTGAGGAGCCAAACTGCCAGTACCCTGAGATGCAGGAGACTGGGTATTCCAGAACTGGAGCTGTGTTGGGCTGGACTCCTGATATGAACTGTGGACTCTCTTAGTTGGTCTGATGGTCTGGCAAGTAAGAAATGCCTTTCCAAAGAAGGCAGTTCATCCCCTGTGTATTTATGGTACAGCTGCACGTATTCATAAGAGTATTTAAGACCCAACACCTTTCTTAAGCCTTTTTGTGGGCCGAAGAGTGATATCATATCAAAGACTATCAATATAGCTATTAAATAAATGATCAATTTTGTTTGAACCAATTCAATGTCCATTCATTCAGGTTTCATTGATGGCAGTAGGACCAACTGGAACAACTGGAAACTGTCAGCCTCAAAATATGACCAAAACCAGAAGATCTTAAAATAGGATTTCCTTTTTTCAAACAAACAAACAAACAAACAAACAAACAAACTAACAGAGTACTTATACGATTTTAATTTTGTTCAAAAACTGCTTAAACAAATAAATTGCTTCCCAATATCTGAAATTCAGACCTTTGAGAAATCAAAATGAAATAATTTCAGACTAGTCCAAAAATAATTATGTTATTTTTTTTTCCAATCAAATGTATGAAGATGCAAAAAAGAAGAAAAATCTCAATTAATTTAAAAAAGTAAGCTGGTTTTTAGATGATCATGTTGGCTAATTTTAGTAGTTACTGTGATAAACAGAAGTGCTTTTTTGCTTTCCTGAGTGGCGCTGAACATGAAAGAAGGTATGGGTTGAGTCATAGCAGAACATGGACCTCACTCCAGCCATGTTTTGCTCAAACCAAGCTCTGATGACTTATATTTATAATGCCTCTTACTCATTTACATTTTTGTATAAGACAAAATTCCATCTTTTGTAACAGAGGGGAAAAAAAAAAAAAGGAAGAGCATTTACATGGATTTTTTTTAAAAGCATCTTGTTTTTGTTTCACCTGACATGAAGCCAAGTGCCTGATTGCACTCCTAAGTAGACATGGGCTAGCTTGGGTCTAGGCTGTTCACATTTCATGTCTCTGAGGAGAAGAAAATAGTTGTCTTCCAAAAGTGGGAGATATCTGCAATTCAGCAGAACAACTATTGCTTTGTCCTAATAGTTTGGGGTCAGGCAAGCAGTACTCCTCCTCCCCAAAACACCATGAACAGTGGTTCAAGCACAGTTTTTAGCACTTTCTTGGAAGCACAGGTTGGCAGCTGTAGTAATGGATCAGTTAACAGGAATAGTGCTTTAACAAAATTAGCCTCTATATTTTTCTGTTAATAGCCCCCTACCTCTGTCTCTTCATGCAAGTCAGCATCCTCTCTGGGCAGTGATGTTACACAGCACACATCTTCTCTGAAGTGATCTCTGTCATGACTTAAGTAGCTCTAAATATCAAATTTGCACTGCTATGGAGCACTCCCAGCAGGCTTCAGGTACTGTGAGTCACAATAAATGCGAATGGAATAGGTTGGGTACTCATGCATAGGAGTGATACACTTGGTAGAGCACCTATGAAGTTCCCAGGCAAAAAGTTCCCTTATTCCAACTAGCAACGATGCAATAATTGTTGTCAACTACAATGGAACAGCTTCTGGAGGAGGAGAGCAACAAATGAGTGACCAAAGAGATGAGATATTACATCTATTAGCTGGTAATTTTTCTGACACAAATACTGTGGCCAAATTGTTGGTGTACCAAGCCTTTTAATTCTTGTATAGATTTCTATTGGATACTTGCTCTCTGTAGTTCAGCAAAAAAAATTACTGGGACGATATGGCCAACTGAACACATTACTTTGTCTCTTGCACTTTCTCTCTCATTCTATAAAAGATAGAAGTTTGAGACAGCCCTGGTAGGATTGGCACCTATTTCTTCCAAGCAACATTTTATTTTGAAGTGAATACTGAGAGAACTGAAGTCAACCCTTTAGGTGTTCTGCTTGGGATATCTTACATGATCTCCTAGGAAACCAACTCTCATTTGACAACCATCAGTATGGAGTCTCCAAATTTTACTTATATCTTTGGAAACATGCAGGTTATTCCTGGAACTCTCCTTCTCATCAATGCTCCCACTTTTGGTATAATTGCTCTTGAGAAACAGAATAGTTTTTCAAATTACCCAATCCTTTGCTCAACTACCAGCCAATGCAGTCTGGCAGAAAGTTGCATACTTCAAGTTGGAATTGTTCGAGTGTGAGAAATGAGATCAGAAATATTTTTTTCAGAGGTGATTTTTTTAGTTGTTTATATATATTTTTTTATATATAGATATATAATCTTGGCTATGAACCTATTAAATAATTTATTTAGATTTTTTTTTCTAATGTGGTCATATTTGTAGAGATAAAAGAGTCATTTTTGCAGGCATTGAGGGCTGTATTGCTGGATGTTCCTGCTCACAGAACACACTGTAACGGGTCTCTTTCCTTGGCCACAGAGCCATGGAATAACACAAAGCAGACCTTCTTTTTTGCGATGTAGAGGGACATATTAATTATTTATACCTTTCCTTAATGGATTCATAAAGCTATGAATCAAGCTGTAAAAACACCATTGACTCATATTAAACTCATGTTTAGAGAGTGGAAGATGTAATTTTTAATAAGCCTCATCCTGCCTGTGTTTTTTTTATTTATTAAGGTTACTTTAGTAGACATAAGTCTATCACTTGGAGCTGTAGAAGCTGTGCTCTGTCTAAATGTAAGTGAAACACTGCCTCCACTATCAACATTTCTTAAGCCATTATTTTAAATTATAAAGTATTTTTGAGAAAATACAAAACACAGTTGGTTATCATCTAAAAAAGCCTTCTGCTCTGGATTTATGGCTTATTCTGAGCATGAAATTGTGCTGGCACAGGCAACATGTAAGAGGACAGGATGTGAAAAATCTCATGTCATTACAAATGGACTTGTCCGTCTACTGGCTGTGGAATGCTAACAATGAGAACAATTGGGGTGCTTCTGGACAATTTTCAGACAGGTGCAGATGAATGGAAGCAGCAAGGAATTTCCTTAGTGAGGAGGAATGAATTAATAGCTGTCAGAAACAGAGACTCTAAATTTGGAAATTGGAAGTATGACCTAAACACCTGTTTTCAAGCCCAAATCTCATTAAGAATGGAAGCTGGAGGGAAGCAATGAAATAATTCAGAAGAAATTCCCCTTCACGGAAACATTTTCAAAGACAAGTCCAGGATGGGAAAACTATTGAAGTAAAACTTTGGCTTAGAGGAGGTCAACCATAAAAACATCCCCTTAGCTTCTCTCCTGGAATATTGCCCCTCTTGGACAATTTTAGGACTGTAAGAGCTGGAACCGGGCATGCTGAGTAAAGCTTAGGCAAAAGCCTCAAAAATTCCATTATTATGAAAGGATATTAACTTCATGACTTTACCAGACTGACCTCAGAGGAATTTTAAATTAATTTGCCTTCCCTAAAGCAAAACCAATGCATTGCAGTGGATAAGTCCCTGTACTTCCTGCAGCTGGTGTGACAAAGCAAATTTTAAAAATTGGGAATGCGCCATAACAGCCTGGAGGGCAGAGGCTACATGGAGTCAGCAGCCCAACAGGCCTTGGATTTGGTTAATAGAAAGACATCCCGGTTTATTCTGTGTCTCTGAGAATGAGTGCATCAGTTTGGTTATGAAAGTACAGGCCTGAACCTTAGCCTGAGAGTCAGACTTCAGATCTCTTGTCCCACCTCTGAGTTTCCAAGCTGAAGTGAGAAGCCAAGGTGTGAAACTCCCAGGCAATGCCCGTCTTTGGAAAGCTGCTCCTGCAGAAAGCCCAGTGAGAGGGAGCAATACCCTAAGTCTGCCACTCAGGGTTCTCTTGAGTGATACCTGGACATATTTTTAGAAATGTGCAGAGGGTCTGGTTGGGATGGGGTTAATTTTCTTTGGAGCAGCCTCTGTGGTACTACAGCTTAACTGGGACACTCACACAGTGTTGATAACAGAGCAATGCTTTAGTTCTTGCTGACCAGCCCTTTCCCAGCCTCAAAGCACAGTCTGTCCTCACTCTCTATGTCCAGTGAGGAGGCCGAGGGCACACAGACAAACAGGTGATGTCGGAATCTGAGGTATTGATGATTCGGAAATTGCAAAAAGTCTCTGTCTTTCTGCCCCGTTGCCAAAGAATTCATAATTTGTCTGTGCTGGTTGTTCAAGGTTGTTTATTCTTGCTTATCTACAACATGTTCTTCTGCCCTGCTGCAGGTCTGTCCTGCAGGGCAGCGTGTGGGGCTCTGCCCTCAGTGGGATGGTACAAACATTATATACCAGAAACTACCTGTGCTGGATTTACAATAATGTGCCAATATCTGTCACCTACGTTGGACAGTGTGTCCCCAGCCTAAACCAATAGAAAAATGCCAACACCACAGTGAAACATGGAGGGCATGAAGAAGGAGGAAAAGGACAAGACACACCCAATTTTCTCCATCTTGTCCCCTTTGAACCCCTAATCTAGAAACTTGAAATTTTACTTTTGCACCCATGCCACACTTAATTATTACTCATATCAAACACTCAGAGCTTGTAATTCATCCTGTAAGATTGAAAACTCTTTTCCATGGACAGAGATCAGAGACAGTGTCTCTGGGGGCTCTGTCCAGGGGGGTTCCTGACCCCTGCCAGGGTCCCAGACCTGCCAGGGCAGCCAGAGGGAAGCCCTGGATTCCCACAAGGTGATACAAACTGGTTGAAGGATTTGTCCATACTATATGACATAGTGCTCAGCAATAAAACTGGGGGGGCATTTTTTTTCAAGAGTACATGTTGCTCTAAGGCTTTTTGGGTGTGAGTCTGTTTGCCGTGACTGCTTTTGCACCTCTTGTTTCTTTGTTCACCTTTTCCCCACCTTTATTTAAAAAAACTGCTTTTCTCTTGACCCACAAGTTTGTCCCTTTTCCCCATCTGATTGTCTTCTCCATCCTGCTTTGGAGGAGTGAGAGAGACAGGATGGGAGCTTAAACTGCCTGCTGAGGTCAATAAGCCCTAAAACATAAAGTTCCTGAAATAATTTTTTAAAATGACATTGAATGAATTGGGTGTGTAAAACCTTGTTTAGCTGGGCTTTTTGTTGATTTAAGATAAGGTTAGGTGATGAGCAAGATTTCACTGACCATAAGATGAGAAGTGCTTTAAGAGTACCCGGAGTAATTTCATCAGAAATTTACCTGTCTCTGGATTTTTAAGGATGTTTAGGAATGATTTCCATGGATGTCATTAATGATGTTGTTGCTACACACCTTGATGACCTCAGGGGCTGACAAATGATAATATTCAGTTCAGAATTTTTCCTCTCATCACAAGCTTGAAACAGTGACATTTCCAGTGGTGAGTTCCTTCCTTTGAATACACATCTTCTTGAACTGGACAGCCAAGGACTCCTTTTACCTACAGAGCTGGCAAGGCAGGGCAACACTCGTGGAATTCATCTCTTCTTTCAGTACATTTTGCTGATGACCTGATTGAAGACATTTTAAAGATGCTAGGTCAATTCCATCCATGAGGTGGAAGCAGCTTCTTCACTTGAACTGCCTGAACCAGATTAGAGGTGAACAGTTCCTAACCTCATGGCCAGTCTCACAATTTGTGTAATCCCATTCAGCTTTCACCCCTTTGATATTAGCAATATTAACAACAACCTCTCCTCTTTAAACTAGAATTAACACTTTTATTTTTGTTTTTATTTTAAGAACAACAAAGCACATGTGCCAGCAGTGGACAAGACATGGGCCAAAGTCTACAGGCTTCTGGCACTGTGGCCCTGCTTCTTCCAGCTGAGGAGTAAGAATTTGACACCTTCGAAGCAGCAAGACCTCATATTCTGACAACTGCAGCCTTGTTCTACAGCTCTCAGCCATTTGAACACGTGACAAAAATCACAGTCAGCAACATCCATAGTGGATTTTTTTCCCACCTTAGCAGTTCTTTCTTTCCTCTGATGTGGTTTTGGAGATATACTCTGCGGTATCACTGTTAAGCTTTTAATTTATTTTTCCACGCTTACCTACACAGAATGAAACACTCCTTTTTAGACGCCAGTCCAAATTATTCAAGAATACTTTTGACAACTGCCAAGTAATTTAGAATGATACCTTCTTAACACCTTCTCAAAACAGGCCTGACAGCCCTGAAGAGTAAAATTCTCCCACTTTTAACCATTCGGTACATACTGAACTTATCAAGGTTGTCAATGTCACTGAAGCATTCCTTTTTTTTTCTTAGTTGGGTGAAGGGGCTTCATCTTTCTCTGGGCTAAAATGCACATTGCTATTTACAAATGATTATAGTTTTCCTCCCCTTGTCACCATGAAAATCCAGGCTTTGGCTGGTGAGAACTGAACACAATGGGGAGTGTTTTAAAGGCTATATTTTCTTTCAGAGAATGTCCCCTGGAAATGCTAGATGGGTTCTGCAAAAAACATGCAAGGTACTGAACTGGTCAAACTAAAGTCTTGCTTTCATGAGGCTGATTGCACCACTTCTATACTTACAGTGCAGGAACTACAAAATCACCTGATTAGTTTAATTCACTTTCCTATCTGGGTTGCCCCTCATTTTTAGTGCATCAGTCTGGAGTAATTTATTCAAAAATAAGGTGGGATGCTGGTTGATTGCTTTTGCAATCCTGAGAAGTGGTCTATGGGTAGAGCAGGAAAAACCTGGCACGTGTTCAGAATGAAGGCTGTCATGGAGGGTGGCTCACTATCAATAAATATTAATAAAACATGTAACTTCAAATGGAGCCCTCACAACGAGCCTGCTAGAGGGCAAGTAGCCAGGAATGCTTTTAGGTATGTGGTCTTCTTTTAGTGCATGTGGCCATGAGCAGAAACCCTTGGGGGATGAGTATTTGGTTCAGGAAACAACCCCAAACTGGAAAAAAAAAAAAAAAAAAAAAAGCAGCATCACTTACCTAAAACAATATGCCCCTGTGAAATACATGAATACATAATACCTAGGCAGCATAAACCATGTGTTCATCATTATGGATAAATACATCTCTCAGCACTAGACATTTCAGAAAGTAGATTTTAAAAAAAGCCCCAAGCAGTGTTAAAATAAAAGCTAAAATTAAACAAAACCAAACAAAAACCCAGGAAAGACCTGTCAGTGCTGTAGCAATTAACTCTTCTACCTTATCCCTCAATCCTAAGCCCCTAATGACTATAAGTCCAAGAAGTAGGAAAACAAAATATAGATATATATATATATATATGTTTGTGTATGTGTATGTATGTATTACTGAGGAGCAGGGCCAGGCAGGCTTAGGTTTAAATTTTGGTTAAGATGTTGCTTATTGAGCAACATTGCCTGCTTTTCCATTAAGCATTGAACTGACAAAAGCCAATCCAGACCTTTTATTCTTTCCTTTCATTATACCAAATATTTTTTGTTTCTTTCCTTGTCAAACTGCAAATATGAAACCTTGAGGGTACACTTTTTAGAAATACAAACATTTTTGGTTTTGTTGCCTTTGGGCAATAAATGTAGCTCACTCTTCCTATCTACAGACACCTATCCTAGTGTATGGCCAGTGATTTCACTAATACAGGGTATAAATTTATTTTTTTTACACACATTTTTCTCTATATAGGGATGATTGCTCACACTAGCACACATACACACCAAAACTTGACACAAGGTGGTAGTGGAGAGAAGGGAAAGAGGAGGGTGAAAGCATTTAGAAGTATTGTAGAGATCAAATATTTTATGTGTTTTCCATGTGGAAAGCTCCCAGCAGACTGGAAATTAAGAGTACAGCAATATGAATGTGATATACAACTTTTAAATTTATGTGAAAAGCTTGAAAAGTTTGAACCAAAAAAAAAGAGCATTGATGAAGAAATAGTGTGTGAGTCAAAGTTCTAGACATTCCCAAGAAGTGACTTTGGCACAGGATGAGAAGCATGATTGCAGAGAGCTAGAAAATGAAGTTTAAATCCTTAGAGTTGCAACTGGAATAAGAACTTCATGATTCTAAAGCTGGAAACCCTTTGGTAAAAGAGCGTGGAGGAAAGAAGAGGGAGAGGGTTGAAAGGACATGCCACACCCAGAAGAAGGGGAGTATCATATCAATGCTTTTAACAACTGCCCCAAACTAGTCTGCACCTTGGAACAGCTACATGCTGTCTAAAACGGTGACACAACAAAGCATATCATCTGCACAGATATCCAGGGCAGTTGTGTTGAAGAGAAGCTTTGGTATTTATTTATTTGGAACCAAAGAAGGAATTTGGGAGCAGGGATACTTGAGAATGATGGTACATTTTATAGGCTTCTTAAAAACAAATTCTGACATCAATTCATATTATAGAATCATAAGATCATTAAGGCTGGCAAAGACCTCCAAGATCATCATGTCCAGCCTTGGACTGAACACCACCTTGTCAATTAGTCCAGAGCACTGAATGCCATGTCCAGCTGTTTCTTGAACAATTCCAGGGATCATGAACTTCATCACTACCTTGGACACCCCGTTCATCCTGTGTAAGCATTGCTCAGTGCTCCTCCATCAAGGAACAGACAAAGCTGAAATAACTTACCAACTTTCTATCCTTTATTTTCAATACACAAATGCTGTTAGAGAAGAAAGGTGAAAGCAGGGAACTTTGAACGGGGAGTAGGACACCATGAAATTAATCATAATTTTTGGTGCATTATATGATTAATTCACTGGCTTGGGACAGGTCCCAAGAAAGCCCAGTCATTTGTTTAAAGCAGCCATTTCTGAGCAGATCTGCTGAGCAGGCGCTACCAAAAATGCCTCTGGTAGGGTTGTAAGTTGTAACTACTCATGACCTTGAGAACAGCTCATGATGTAGTTCCGGCATACCAGAGCCCTGATGAACTATCAGCAGATTCCAAAATGGGGTTTTTTGCCTTTCAAACATTTTAACAGCCTGTGCTATAATCCTGGCCATTACAGGTGCCCTGGTAGCAGTATACATGGTCACTACAGGTAATTAAAGAGCAGCTACACCCGTGCTTTGAAGTGAATGTTGCTAACCTCAGGTGCTCACATCTTTGAATAAGTCATTTACATTGAGATACGCTGTAAACACACAAATATCATATTTACACTGTAAATATATAAATATATAAACACATATAAATAAATAAATAAATAATATAGATCCAGTGGCTGTTGAGTCAGCACTGCTTTCTTCATACTGGGTGTGGAAAGATAGACACATGTGAGTCCCTGATGCAAAGAGCTGTAACAAACTTGAAGTTTATTGCTTCAAAAGCAGACTGGACAAATGCACTGAGGAGAAGAACTCTGTGACTAACTGGACAAAGTGCATCAGACTCAGAAGCTACCAAGACTGAAAGAACCTTTAGAGAAAGCACAGTACAATTTGATCTTTGCTTTGCTAAATAAACATCTGTTTATGGCCACTATTGGAGACTACTCCCTTGCTAGATGGTTTCAGATGACCCTTAGTGCAGCCATTCTTGAGCAGCCAGATGCAACTTGGATTCCCTGGAAAGAGAGATAGATGTAACATGACTTACGTGTAACATGTGTAGACAATGCTTGTGCACATGAAATTTGGCTTGAGACTGAATAGAATTCATGCAGGAATAGATCTCAGATGCAGAATCTGACTGGCATCAAGGAACTTCTTTAAGTTTACTACAGCCTTGTGCAAAACAGGTAAGAATTTTCTGATTAAACGCTTCATGTTCTGAACTACACTAAGCAGATGAATACAATTAATAAATTATGTGATTCTTGGTTTTGGCATCTGAAAGAAACATTTAAAATGGTTAATGGAAGTGCTTTCTACTTTTGGATAAAGACTACTAAACGGGCTGACTCTGAAATATTTGAGAAGTTTGGTTTGTATTAATGTTTAAAGGTTGAATTCTTATCCCAAACCTTTTGGATATTCATGGGGAGTGGATTGTATGTGCATGAGTTTTCCCATGTGGTTTGTAAGCCTTATGCTTGGCAGTGTTAGAATTACCACAGGAAGAGCTTTTTCTCAGGGCATTTTGGCTTCCGGTCACAAGTGTAGCCTGAAGTCAAGAGGCGTGGGAAATTAAAACAAGGAGGGAAACAGTTAACCAAAATTCTATGAAAAGGCTTTGGATTCACTGGAAATTATGGGAAGGTCAGATCCATTCTCCCATGCCTAATAAATTACAGGATTAGATCAACCCAGTTCAATATATAAAGCAATGCTAAAATGTCTTATGTCCCTCAGTTTGCAAGCTGAGGACTTTTTAGCCACATGGTAGCCTCTAGACCAGCTGAGACTAATGGTTAACACCCTAATTAAGAGAATCCTTATTTTTTCTCTTGGGAGTCTTGTAGTGCCTCAATGCTTTTTTCCCTCCTGGTATTTGGCAGTATTGGTTAATTATATTGTGTTTTAATCTAGTTACTCCTCTAAACTCCTCTGTGTTTTATGGATTTAGCTTGTTACATCTCTGTAGAGTAGGAGAACATATTTTCATTTTTACAAAATGCATAAAATATGACATGCAATAGACTACACAAAAAAATCTGAGACAAATCAGGCAACAGAAGTCAGTTGCTCAGTTTTTCAACAAGTATTTTAACTCCAAGTTTATCCATGCTCTGTTGGAAGATCCAGTTTGGTCCAAACAGTTGTCCAAAACCACATTTGATTTAGAAATCATCAACCTGCCCCACTCTCATCATTATCTAATCAGGTGCTCTTGCCTTGGGAGTGTACTCTTCAGTTTTCTCCTGAGAGAATATTTGTTTTATCCTTAGTGCTGGTTTTTATTGTTGCTGGGTTTTCTGTTTGGTTTTTTTTTTGGTTTTTTTTGTTTTGTTTTTTTTTTTGGGGGGGGGGGGGGGTTGGGGGGGGTTGTTTTTTTCTTTTTTTTCCCCAAAGATTGCCACAGAGCAGATTTTCCACCAAGGCACAGATCATTGTGTGTCTTCCCTTTATGATTCCCACCTCTGCCTTTTACTGAGAATGAAAGCAACCTCACAGTAGAAAGAGAGAAATAAAGATAGCTTAACCTTCAAGTTTAATGGAAATTTGAAATAAGAAGTGTGAAAACTTCAGTTGCATAATCCAGGTCATTTGGAAAGCGTGAGTCTTCTGTCTGAATTAGAAGACCTTTTCAGAAGGGATTTCTAAATTAAGTTGTCTCTTCATCAGTACCCCTTGACCCCATGGCATGGTTCTACCTTGTTTCAATAAAATCAATCACCCAAATAAGTGAGATATCTGTTTTTGTATGGAGGGAGGTAATTTTAGAGAAGTGAATTTTGGGTATGCAAAAGCATTGATCTGATTTAGATGCGTATTTATTTCCACAAGTATCTAATCTGGAAGTCTAGCAAATGACAATTGGTTTCACCTTCAAGCATAATCACCAGTTTCGTTCCATAGAGGATTATGTTTTAGTAATATTTGGAAAAGTAAGTGATAGAGACAGTATTTTCCTCCTCTAAAAAAATAAAAAAGAATATTCCTTATATAATATGTTAGGGAGAGCTAACTCGTGTGAAATATTCAAACATCCTAAAAGCTGTTAAAATACAGGAAGTCCACCTCATATATGAGTTGAAAGAGTGTGACAACTAAAGGAGCATTTCAGGAGAGCAGAGTTTGGGCTGTATCCAAGAGTTTATGCTCACCAAAATGAGCTAAAGGGATCCTGTTCAGTCCTGTCCTTCCCCATAAGAAAGTCAGCATCTTCCTGTTACATCTCCAAGCTGTTAAAATCAGCATAAGTTCCTGGCTGCGAGATTCATTGGCCCAGAAGAAAGGGAAGTGGTGGTACAGTTATGCAATGACAGTTTTCCTTGGGAAATTTTTGGTCCTTTTGATTAAACAACTCAGTATTCATCTGTCTCCTGAATTTATTGCAACAACCATCTTTTAAGAAAGACTTCAGGGTGATGGAATATTGCTCACAGGATGCAGGTGAGATAAAGGGGTCTTTGTTGGGGAGAAGGTGTGGGAGAGAGATGGTTTCTAAATGCTTTGTTTTGGTCTCGAGTCCCATGGCAGCTGGAATTATTGGTGTACAGAAACAAGGTTTTAATCTTTAACCTTTGACATGGAATTGACAGCTTGGGAGAGATATCCTTTTCAACCGACTTGCTATAAATCAAATATTCATATATGGAAATAGCATTTGTTTAGAAACTGTCTATTTTTCCTCAGCAGACATAAGGGCTCTGGTTTCAGAGCATCCGTCTTAATATGTTTATCTTCAGAGACATCCAGAAAGTTTTACCACAGAAAAGTGATATGCAGAGATTAAATGACTCTCCCAAAGTCATATAAGAAGTCTGTGGCAGAGCAAGTAAATGAATCCACATCTCCTGAATCCTTGGCTACTATCTTAGCCACTTTTTTTTTTTTTTTTCCCTGCAAAACAAATTTTATGTTAGAATTTAAATTTCTGGGTGCACCTCAAGTCTCATTGGGAGTCTGACTCCATACATTTAGTAGGGTCACTGTAAATTTTATCCAAAGCTCTTCTGACTCAGAAAGTAGAAAAATAAAGTAGGTCTTTTATGTAACTGTGTCAGAGGCAACTTAGACAGCAGCCAAGCCTTTCAAGGAAAGTGGATTTCCCTTGTGTGTTCTGGCTTATAAATCCTGTCTCTTTTATTTTAGGAATATAATTGTTGCACCTTCCAAAACAACACACAAGGAGCCAACTGCAACAGTCAGTCTTGTGTGCCTGTAATGGTCTTGGCCAATGCAAGGAAAGAGATATAAAATTAATGAAAAGGAAAGAGAAAAACCAAAATATGTGGGTTTAGTCACTACAAATAACTCTCCTTTGTCAAGACACCGTATGTTCGGTGTACATAGATGAGTCATGTTGTCTCTTGTGATCACTCTAATCAAAGGGGAGGACTGGACCCTTCCTGATGCTGATTCAGTCCTCCTGAGACAGGTTTCTAAAATAAGTGTGGTGAATCAGCTTCTAGCAGCTCCTATCTCCCTTCACTGACTGTGGAGTGGACACTTACAGTGGACACATGACTTGGACACAAGAGAAAAGCCAGACATTATTTCTCTCATGTAGGTGCCAGTTGCAAAGCTTGTCCTAAGTTGTAGGTAAAGTGATTAAGGCATCTTTGTATTTTCACTCTGATTTGCTCCAGTCACAAGCCCATCTGTAGACATTGCCTAAGAGGAAAAAAACAAAACAAAACAAAACATGGTGAATTAAAAATGTCCAAAATCTTTAAATTATGCAGAAGATATTTTCTTATACATAAATATCACTTCCTGACTCTATGTACACTTAAAATTCCTCGTGAAAGCAAGATCTGTTTAATCACTTAGTTGTATTTCTTCTTCAGTCAGTTGATGAAGGAAAGTTATAAACATGAAGTAAAATCAGAATCTACCCTGAAAAGACACTGTGTTGTAGAATCTTTTAGTTTTCCAGGAAATCCTGTTTGTCACTTGTCAATACAGAGAAAGAACATCAAAACTCATGAGCAGATGAGATGTTGCATCCTTTTACGAGGACATCAGTGACCAACTGCTTCTGCTGCCTAAGGTAAATAAGTTCTTTTAGGGAAATGACAATAAGTAGCTTCCTCTAATTTCCTTTCACTTTCCAGTCTAGTTTTCACCCAACATTATCTTTTTTAAGGTATCCATTTAGAGCATTTTTCACTTTAGAATCTTTCTTCAACCATTTGACTTGAGAAGAAATATCTTACCATTTATACTGCCTAACATCTAGCACAAGAACACTTTGATATTTCTGAGTGCTATGTATTTATCATTAATTATTACAAATATAAAATAATATACTGGAATGGACTTAACAAATATAAATGTTACTATTAATAAACACACAAATAATTAATATTTTAATAAAATACAGACATAAAGTAAATTAAAAATACAACCTAAGTGATAACAGTACCCACAATGCAAAAGCCAATTGCAACACCAAAACTCCCATGATATTAGGAGTCTCATTCCTGCTTTAAAAAGCCTGTATGTTTCTGTAGGGAATTAATATCAAATGAACCTTTGAGAAAGCTTCTGAAGAAATGTACTTAGGACAAATGTGATTCTTTCACTTTAAATTCCAGGAATAAATTGGGAAAAAAAATCATACTTTTATCTGTAATGATTGTACAACTGCAAGTACAATCACATAGTTCTTTGCTACTAGTTGTTTAACAACCCTATTTTCCTAGGGAGGTCTTTCTGCTTTTTTCATTTGCATTGTTTACATTTTTGTGCTTCTTTTCTTAGCTGTTCTGCTGGTGCAGGTTCTTGCACCTGAGCAGCACTGGGAACCACCCACGCTGCCTCTGATGAACTCACCAGTCAAGCTGTTGACTCCAAAACATCCTCTGGTCTCAGGATTCCCTTCTGGCAGCACAAGACCTGAGCTCACATCACTGGGCAAAGACAAAACAGGAGCCCAGCTTAAAATAGTAGATGATGCCATACAGATTGTCTGGATTTTATTTTTAACTGGCTCAGCCATGTGCCAGTGGAAGTGATGACTGAGATGTCCATTTAAAGTCATAAAGTGATCTGGGCTTGCTGGTGAGGATCATCTCCCTCCAGGCTGTGCCAGGGTAACCCAGCCCAGAGCTACTTCCTAGTCTGACCTTCCATTCTTTCTCTTAATATCTCTCTGCATCTTTGACCATATCTACTATTACCTTTGCAGTGTGCCTCAGTCCCAGCTCATCCCTTCTGGCTGCTCTTCCTGTCCTGTCTGTCTCCCAGATCCCCTCTTCTCCCTTCTGCTAATTCTTCATAGCACTCTGACACAACTACAGGAAGGCACTTCCTATCCCACCGCAGAGTTGTTTGGAATAAATAATTCACAGTGATTTCATCTGCAGCACTATGGGTCACTTGGAGATGAAACTGAAACATTCTAATCCTCAACGGGAAATTATCAAGCCTGGTGAAGAAAAAGCAGATGTGTATGTCCCTTACAGTGCACCTGGGTTCTCTTCATCAGGAAAGCAACAGGCTTATGCTCTTTTTCAATGAAAATAAAATATGTATCCTTTCTTCAGACAACAGATATTAAACTGTGGTGATTGAAGAAAACCATAGTTTTTACTTGCAGGAATAGATAATTTGCACTAAAGAGTATTTAAAGAATTGTCCAAGGATATCCCAGAAGTCTAATTAACATTTTTTTTAAGAGAAAGTGGGACACCAAGAAACTCTAGAGGTATGATAAGAAACTATTAACAGTTTAAAATTCAGCTGGGACAGGACAAGATGAGCCTGACACTGATCTTATCAAAATTACAGAAAGGCTGCTATGTGACACTATCCAAAAGGAATGAAGAAATTGTAACAATAAGATGAAAAATTATACTGGCATAAATAGCTTGTGACTCTTTTCTGATTCTTTCCTTTATTTTCAAAACTACAGGGTGGATGAGTAGAGATAATTGTGTAGACATAATTCTTTTAGTACTCCCCAAAGAATGTAATCCTGTTTTTATATCTGAAAAATCAATAAACAAGGCTAACAAAAGTGAACATCAATGGTGCTCATGCAAACATAGAAAAAGTTAACAGATTACAACAGTTTTTGTGAAAAATAGGATCTTCATTGACTGCTGCTAATGCTGGTATCCCATGGGCTCCTTTTCCTGGCTGACTGCTACTCAGTGTTTTTATCAGAGATCTCAAAAGCTATAGGCAAAATAAAAAATATGTGCATTAACAGGTGTTGGAACTGTGAGTGATCCCATATTAACCTGCATAAAAATTAACAGAGATCATAGAGTAGAGTGAACTTACTAAAACAGGTGCATTCTAAACACTGTGAACAAAGAGAGGTGATCATGCCTTTAAAATACCCAAATCAATGCTGCAAATCAGTAGCTCTGGAAAACATGAGGATTCTAAGAAATGGTTATTTGTGGGTTCTAATGATGTGTTGAGACTGTCTTTGCTGATATAAATTTTGGTTACAAAAGGAGCAGACAACTGAGTACAAAAATAAATGGAATATTACTCTTCTATTTGGCACCAGGGAGAGCTTTTTGGGAGTCATCTATCCAGCTGGATGTCTACTCTGGCAAAAGAATGTAGAAAAACTGGGAACTGTTTAGAAAGACCTGTGACAATGACCTGAGATTACAAATACGGCTTTAGAAACACCACAGCCTGAAAGCAATTTCATGTAATAGATAGCTTTTTAATCCAGGACGGGACATAAACAAGATTCAGTGACTGGAAGCTGCAGTTAGACATAATCCAGACTAGAAATGTGCCTTATTAACAGGGTGACAACTCAGCCATTGGGATTATGGTGCGTTGTCTCTCGGCTGAGAGTTTGAAATACAGTCCAGGCCTGGACACTTGGCCTCGGCCAGCCTGAACTCTGGGCTTGAGGCAGAAATTTTTTGGAGAGATGCCTGTACTATGTAATAGTCAGTATAATTTATAATTTTCCTGTGCAGCATTTGAGGACTCTGCGAAATGCTGTTTACTTGTTGTGGAAAACAGGACCAGAATTCTTGTGTCTTCAGAAGAGATGTGGTCATCCATGGAAGTGCACTCCACAGAACTAGAGAAGGGGAAGAGTTTTACGAGGAATGTGCCCCACTGGATTGTTTAAACTCACTGCATCTGTGGAAGACCTGAATGAGGTTTTAATATACATTAAAATGATTCTGTAGGCAGTTATATACTGTGAAGCCAAAACATTTCCTTTCCTCCCCCTTTCCCTCCTCCCAAACCCTAAGGCTTTTGATTTACAGTAGAAAAATGAAGCCTGTAAATCTATCTGTTCTATAAACAAAGCAGCATAATGTGTGTTAAAATTCTGGGCAATTTCTTGTAATTGTATGTACTTAAGTAAAATTTACATGACCATTATGGGCTGCTCTTGGGCAATGGCTCTTTGTCAGCCTATAGTGATTAGCACATTGGTGCTGCCAGGACAAAATTCTGTCAGCACCACAAGAAGCAATTTCATCAGGTTTCTTTTTACACAGGCTTACAGCTCGAACTGGCCCTGCAACCTACTAGAGACTTTTTTTTTCTTCTTTTCCCTAGCCATGCAGTCTGACTCTTCAGATGGAAATTAAAACAATTTCAAGAATGAGGAGTTCTCTCCTGTTCCTAAAAATAGCCCTGATCTTCAGCAGGGGGTGTGATTCCTTAGCCATATGCAACAAAGATGAACTCTTTGTCAGGTCCAGCCTGCAGCAGGAAGTGTCTGCTCCTGGTCTACTTTTACATGGGTTCAAAAATAAACAGGCAGTTCCTCTGGCTGGCCTCCCTCTCTGAAGGCAGGCAAGGAACATTCTGTACAAGCAAGCACTCACAATCATTCGAGGGGCCAAGTCTAATGAGGTTAATTGATGCATCAAGGACCTGTGTTAAGCATTTAACTAACATGTTCATGAGTTGCACAGCTACATATTGCATCAGTGCACAGTAAACACAGTGCCATACATTTGGGATACCCTACGGACGTGAGTTGAAAGAGAATGCATTTATTTTTGCAAAATGGTGTCTTTGTGCTCAGATCTGAAACTTATGTAACATGCCAGGGACACCAGAATATATCACTTTTAAAAAGCAGTTGAGTAAACCTGAAATGTGTGTGATATTTTACAGAAAAAAAAAGAGCACAAATTTAAAAAAGGGACACTTGAGTTCTATATTAATTACATCTTTTAGGAAAACATAGCAGGGAAGGGAAAATTTTAAAGTTAAAACAACATGGAAATCATTGCAATGTGAACATAGTGGAAAATTAACCCCTCTTTTAACAATCTTTAGTATCCAGGAATTAGAAAACTACATTATAGCAGCAGGCTAACTAGAAGAGCAAAATTTGCAGTGAAGAATGGGTGTCCAGTGCCCCATTCTGGCAATGTAAAAGAATTAACTGGAATAAAAGAAAAATGTACATTAAAATATGTTTTCTTTGTGAAAGAGATGCTCAGTACTGTTAGAACAAGAATCTGGGTGGGTCACTCTGACAATTAGCTCCATTAAGATGAGTGGTGACACTAAAAATATGTTGATATGTTAAAATGTGATCGAAGCTCATCTCCACAGAGATAGAGGTGCACAAGGAGAAAAAGGCAAGAAGGGAAAACCCTGACATGGATACTGTCTCAGGAGACATCAACCCCTCAGTGCCTCATCTCCACACACGGAGAGGAGCAGAGTGGGAAAACCCCACAAACCTCCTCAGAGAAACGAAGCCTCACGTTGACCCCTCCAAGGGCAGCCATAGGGGACTGCCAGCCCCAGCACCCACCAGGGGCACCAAGTGAGATAAAATCATCCACAGCATCTCTCCAGGCCACCCCACAAATGGAGGGCTCACAGCCTGGGGGAGTGGGACACTTTACAGGATGCAGGGGAAAAGCATCTTGGGTCTGTATCAAATTTATGGGGTGTTTTGTGAAAGAAACAAAAGCTGGGAAAGGGAGAAATGGAGGTGGTTTGGGAAGGAGGAAGTGTGGAAATTAGGGAGGAAGGGGACAAAAGGGGCTGATGTAGACTGTTTCTTGCCCATATACTTTTCCAGCTGTGCTCTCTGCCTGGCCATCCCAGTGTGTCCTGCCTTCCCAATACACACACTGCTCCTGAGGGCTTACCTGTGTTTGGAGGTCTTAATGGCAACCACTGAGAGGACACCACTGGCCCAGGTCAGAGGCACTGCTCGGTGCTTCTTATGATGAGAAGCAAAATCTACTTTCTCTGTGAGGAAAGTAGATTTTTTTTCCAACAGTGTTAAAATTTAATTCGAATAACTGCAGAACTTCGTTTTCTAAAGTAATGATTGAATCAAAAACTTGAACATGAACTTCAGCAGAAGAGACACAATGAAGTACCCAGAAGAGCGAGTGTGACTGTAGGTACCTTATTCAATGATTTTCTGGGTCTCTGTAAGTATATTTTTCTTTAAAAAATCCAAACAACCTAGTGATTCTGGTTCACTTGGCACATCATATGGAAAGCATTCAGCAATAAATGTTAGTATCATCATATAGACATTTGAACAGAGAGTGGCAGAGTGAGCCCATCCTCTGCTGCAGTCTTCAAGTGTGAGCTTAAGTGCTGTTTATATTCTTCACTCTGTAGTTATCCCATTTGTAAAGGTGAGATGCCCTTCCTTAACTTACAGCAATTTTGTTTGAGGCTAAAAGATGGTATAGGGTGAGGTGTTAATAGATGTGCACTGCAAAAGACACAAGTGGATAGGTAAAATACCCACAGTATTTAGTATCTAAGTATTTGAGTATTTTTCCCACAGTCTGCATAAAAAGCCAAAATCTTTACTAGTGAGCTTTGTAGAGGGAGGTGCTTGGACAAGTTGTACAGATAGAAAACTAGGTTCTCATTGTTGATTGTTATTTTATAAAGTTTTAAATTAGTTTTTCTCCACTTAAGCATTCTATTTATCTCCATGTTTCCTGTTTTCTCTTTCCCATTTTTTTCTGGCACTGAAGCCACCATTAGGCATTTGAGCCAGAGAATCCCAGATCTAAACTGTTTCAAAGGCTGGAAGATGAGGGATGAAAACAGAGTTTTGGCTCCTAAAATGTAAGGTCAAGTGGGGATTCAAATTCTACTGAGTTTTGGATTGTGTGATTTTGAGATTCCAGTTCAAGCCCATCTCTCCAGTCATAGGGTGGAATTCATGACATTAAAATTCTTTCCACAGCACGAAAGGGATGTCATCATAAACACTACATTATGACTTCCCTACAGGTTGCTGCAGAAGAGGAATCTAACCCAGGAACAGCAGAGACATTTAAAAAACATGACCTTTGAGTAACAGAAAACATGGGAAAATCTAAGTCTTAAAGAAACTAATTTAATTCTGGTTTGGCACTCTGTGAAAATCCCTTCATAAAGAGAAGTTTAGGCCAGGGATTTCTACTCTGCTGCCTCTTTAAACTTCAGGCACATTTTTGCATATAAATGTTCTAAATCGGAGATCTTCATTTATCCCAAACCAGGCACTGATGCTTCTAAAGTATAGCAATTAATTAGGAGAGTGTCATTGTGAGAAAGGCAACCACAATAACACTCAAGATCTGAATCTGGACATGGAAAAAATAACAAAGCAGAAACAAAAACAAAGAAAAGAAACAGAGTCTGTGTTGGAGCCTTTCTAAAAATCATATGCAAGAATCCAGATGGAGAGAGTGCTGGCTGCTGTTCATGTCTAACATGATCAGCAGATAGATGAGTGGCTTGGAGACGTGAGAAGTGGGCTAGAGAAAGTGCCAGACTGCTAGCTGGGATTTCAAGGAGTGTTTGTGGTAAGCCACAGCTCAGATCTTTTTTTTGCTGTGGCCTGAGTTATGTCTTAGAGACCATGAATGGAAACTTAAGGACCAAATATTTTGGGGCTGGTCATGATTTCAAGATAGTGATCCCATTTTCCAACCTGTAAGCCATTTCCCTTTTAAATCTTGTGAGCACCACTGAATCAGAAAACAAGCCAGTCTCACTTCACCAAAATGCTTGTAGCACACAGATCACAATATTAATAAAGA